TCATTAGGATGAAATGATTTTTAATGCACTGAAGGACTGATGATTATGATGAAATGATGATAATGATGGTAATGATGAACTGATTATGATGTTGAAGAACAAAAAATGATGATAATAATGATGTACTGATAATGATAATGATAACGGTGTTCTGATAAGGATGGTGATGACGATGATGATGTAGATAATGAGATGTTCATGTTTTGAGGAAGAGGATTTTCTGAAAATGATTATGATGTATTTAAAGTGATGATGATGATGTTAATGATGGTGACGATGTCTAATGTGTTGATGTACTGATGAATAAAAATGATGATGATGTACTGCTGGTGATGATGCACTTCTGCTGATGAACTGATGATGATGATGATGATGATGATGATGATTTACTTAAAACTAAGATGATGAACACGTTTTCGGGATAATTATACTCTATCATTGACATTTTTTCTGTATGTAGACAAGTATAAAAAAATCCCATGTTTTATAGTCTTAACTGTAACAAAATTAGGCCAAAGCAAGTCGTATATGATTGTCTCTTGCCTTTTTTTATATGGCTGTTTAAACAATTAGAATAAGTTTTCTAATTTTGTTTGTTTTGTTTTGGGTTTTACGTCACATCGACACAGTATAGGTCATATCGCGACGTTCCAGCTTTACTGGTGGAGGAAGACCTCAGGTGCCCTTCCGTGCATTATTTCAGGCACGAACGGGCACCTGAGTAGAACCACCGACGTTCCGTAAGCTAGCTGGATAGCTTCCTCACATGAAAGAATCCAAAGTCCCTGTCGGGATTCGAACCCACAGCGGTGAGGGGCAAGTGGTTTGAAGTAAACGACCTTAACCACTCGGCCACGGACGCCCCAAGTTTTCTAATGGATAAGTATGAAAGTTATTTAAAACATTGTTTATTAAGGCTAACATATTTTCTAAGTAACTGGCCATTCCTTCCACTGCATTCAAAGCATTAACATCCAGTTTATAAAAAGTTAAATTTGTAGTTATTTCTTCGTAGAAATACTTTGTAAATTTATTTTATATGCATTATTGTGAAGTAATCTTCTATGGCAAATCCGTATGTATTATTTTTATACTGTTATTTCGAGATGACTATATATATATTTTGTAGTCATTGTGAACAATGCAATTTAAATGGTTTGAATTGTGTGTTCTTAATTACGATCTCCATTATTTGTTGTTTTATTGTTATAATAGTTTAAACATAAAAAAACCTCATTTAGTGTTGTTTTAATATAAATAAGCTCCCTAACAAAACTGGTTAGGTCGAAGAGACAGAGAGCTGTTTCTGGTGAATGCTACCTGGAGTCTTTTGACCAGATGAGAGGTTTATCCGTCAAATAAGGGATTTTGAAATATACAGCAACTATATTTATTGTACTTGTAGTAAGGGTTCGACGAATACAGTTGGTCAGGTTTTACGTCGCAACAACATAGTATAGGTCGTACTGCGACTTTCCAGCTTTACTGACGGAGGAACTTCAGGTTTCCTGCATTATGTCAGGCACAGACGGTCCTTAGTTCCGTAAGCAAGCTTGGTAAGTTTCAGACATGAAAGAGCTCAAAGTCCCACAGTTTATAGAACTGATAGACTACAAATTGTAATAAATGTTTCAAAGATCCTTTACTATTATACTTGATAATCATATAAAATTGATTTATTAATATTTTCGAAATGGAGGTAAAAATTATATTAGGTTTTCTAAGTAGATAAATTGTCATATTCGAGAACATAACTCTAGCTGTCATTTAACATCATGCCAGAAAGAACTATTTTCATTGCAGATTGATAAACAGAAAAAAATATCAAGCTGCATAATTTGTGATGAAACGTCCTTTTGAAAAAAGATCTGTACAACATTTAAAATGCAAACTGTCTAAGTGTGGTTTAAAAGATTAATAATCGAATGTTCTATTTAAAAAAGCAAATTGGTTAAATATTGCAACTTTGCCAAACAATTACAAAAGTTTCATAATTTCTTATTTATAAGTTAGCGACTGTCTACTTATTATAAATATTTTCGTATCTGTCTTATTGAAGTTTTGTTTTGTAGTGAGCAAAGCAAAACTTTTACGCGTATCGGTGAGGTGTATTTTTTATAAAGTAACTGAAGATGTTTCAAATCATAAGAATTGTTTATTAATTCAAAATGTAGAGGCAATCATTGTATTCATCATATATTATAATACGAAATGCGTTCATAAAAAAGAGTAAAACATTCAAACGGCACGAATCTTTGACATTAAGGTAAGGCATTTTAATGATAACAAACTAGTATTAAGGTATTATATTTAAAGATCTTTATTCGATATTTGGAATATGTTTTATTGCTTTTGCTTCTAGATGTAGTGATGTACTTTTAGGTTATGTCATTTCACCGATAAAAAAAAGCTCGGTGTGATAAGAACAAAATCATGCTTGTCATTTTTACACTCATTTAGATCAGTTACTTTCTGTAAATGAAATAGCAAGATAAAATTATATATACACCTGGAAATAAGTTAAGCACAACCGACATTTTGCCTAAATTTTGACATGACCACAACTGATAATTTAAATATTATTTTGGCAATGGTACGAACCACCTGTAATCATGCAACAACTGGAAAAAGCTCTGCACCAAGAATGCCAATATTTACCTGAAGGGTTGAGGCTATCATCCGGGCACGTTGCGATTACACACGTTATTAAAAAAATTGGCTACATTATGTCATTTTAGGTTATGTAATCGACAATATTTAACAAAATATACACCGGTAAATGTTTTGTAAACGCTCCAACGCCATACTTATAAACACTCACATTTTTGGTAAAAAATACCACATTTGCTTATGCTTCTATAAATTGGTTAAGAATAAATTAAACTCATAAATTGGTATCGCTACTGATCAAATTACTATTACTTGGCTCAATTAAGTCGTCATCTCATGACAGTGCTTTCAATCACAACCAATTTAAGTTTCCGTGGTGCGCTTAACTTATTTTCAGGTGTATAATCCCAAAATCATAGTTTTAACTTATATAATTCAGTAATTCATATACTCGTTACTTTTATAAATAAGCATAGGGATCGAAAGTGATGTACCAACTATTTTGTTTTAAATATTACTGGTATTGTTTTTCTGCCGTAGTAAACTGTTGTAACATTTTAATATTTAAGTTAAAATATAAAAAAATCTAAATAGAAATGTTTTTTAACTTTTCAAATTTGACAGTCGTTTATGCCAGTTTGCCCATAGAACCGCCGAACCAAAATAATGAAACTTTGTCGTTTAAGATGAAACAAAATAATGAACATCTGCCAATTGTCTATATAAGCTTTGTTTCATACTCACAAATAATAAACACAATTTCTTATTATTGTATGCCGATTAACTAGTCATAGAATGGCCTTCGGTTGTATTCAATAAACAACGTTAAATAATCTAAAGTAAAAAATGACATCAAGCCCATGTGTGTTATGTTATTACTTAGTTTTCTTTGACGTGAATTGTTCAATAATAGTAGTAAGTACTCGAAATATTAATATTACGTACAAACATACAGTAATTTTTGACATACCAAAGATTTGGTTTAATCATTTTGAAAAGAATATAGTTTTGTTGAAATAGCTATCTTTTTTTTTCTATACGACAATACTGAAAAAGACCGTTTCTGAAGAATTACACCATTGGCGCGACATTTATATAGTAAAAGTTACGAGTGCACAAATCATGGTAGCTTTCATTCGAGTTGAAGATGCGTGAAATTGCAATTTTTAAGAATCATTTTCAAACCAAGTAAAACAAATATGGACTATATTTTTTTAACTGTACCGTTAGGCCCATTACCTACGATAATTAAATTTGGAACGTAAAAATTAAAACAAGAAAAAAATGAAAACAGAAAAAACGCGAAGGGACGAAACTGTGATCGTACGATGATGAAGATGCGAAGACACGATAACGAAAACACGAAAACTCTAATTCAAGTTGATGATATTTGCGTTTTCGCCAACGTGTCTTCGCATCTTCATCATTGTCCATTTTTTGTGTGTTTTTATACGTTTTCGTCTTCATCCCTTCTTGTTTTTGCGGCTTCGTTCTTTTGCGTTTTCGGCTTCGAACTTTTTTAAAAATTTTCATCATGCGATATTCATGTGCAGAAACAGTAGATTTATTTAACAAATGAATAAGTTTATAAAAAGTCAATTTCAAACAGGCTGTATATTTAATGAAATAATAGTTTATTTAAATATGAAATTGTTATTCATATAAAGCTACTGTCATCAAAATGATATTGTTTAATTAAGTGTATACTAGTCTACGGGCTTGTATACACAACGTTTAAAACGTGAAACAATATAATGAATTGATGTGTGAAAACTGCAATAACTGCCAACGCATTGTGTAATTGTTTATTCTTAAATACTTTTTATAATAATCATTTTGATTTTCATTAACATAAAATCAAGTGACCCTGTGGATGCAAGAAGACCGGGGTTTGAAATCACGGCATTATTTTCTATTTCAAACGAATTTTTTTAAACTTTATTTTATCTCAAATGATTGGCCAATGTATTCCAAAGACAAAATACACATGTATTCAATACTTGAAAAAAATATATAAAAAAACCATATGAAAATTAGAACTGCAACAAATCTAGATGAGACTTCCTTTTTCTTTATTTTTCAGTTTGCTTATATATTTTTGCAGTTGTGTTTTGAAATTCAAATCTTATTAGATGCCAATTACACAGACAATGGTTTAATTTGTTGGATACTGTGTGCCATTCTGGAATCTGGGAAAGGGAGACCTATCACGGGCATGCATTTAAAATTCATGTCCTATACAATAGGTGTACTTTCAAGAAAATAATAATGTTAATGAAAAATGGACATTAAAATCTGTTATGCTGTTATGCGTGTCCATAAAGTATTAAAATTTCTTTCATATCAGACAGGATTTTATCATGCCATTACTATGACAACTGCCTGATAAAGCCTGTCTGAGAAAAGCAACCTTTCTCAGTCAGTGACTTGAGAACACTATGTTCCTACGCCAGATCAGCACTGATGATGTTAATTGTTGGTATTGTTTAATTGACTTTGCTGAATATTTATGATAATACACAGTAAATAAATTGTTAAAGCAAATTGTACCAAAAATTGTGTTGTGTTATAAAATTATTGGTAAAAACCCTCGGACTACTTTTTTAGCGTATAACCCTCTTGTGGTTACCGTACTTTCAGAAATTAGCGCCCCGAATTAAAAAAAAATAAGATGCAAAATCATAATAGAGGTATGATAAAAAGAATAACAGGTTACTGTATTTTGAGAAAGGGATTTCTCACATTCGGCTAGATATGGTCCGGAAGGGGCTCGGCAAGCCTCGCCCCTTCCAGGACCATATCTAACCTCGTCTGAGAAACCCTTTCTCAAAAGACAGTAACCTGTTATTCTCTATATCTACGGTTTACAGCGGTGCTAGAAAACTCTGTCTTACACCCCCATGTAAGACAAGTCGCGTGCTTTAAATGACGTCATTGACGCGCGCCTTTTATGAATGAATCGCGTTCTTAGGATGACGTCATTTTTCCTTTATGAATGAAGTTGTATGTTCATACGCTCCTATCAGAAAAATGTGCGTAATGAGAATATCAGTTTTCATAATTTCTGTTCCGAAAATAATTGACATGTAATATGCAAGAAAAAGAATCAAACACCGGCTGTTGGTACAGACGGGAATATCTAGCTCTCGGGTAACTGTTTAGCGGTAACGAGGCTCTGTCGAGTTTCCGCTAAACAGTTACCCTCGAGCTAGATATTCCGGTCTGTACCGGCAGCCGGTGTAAGATTCTTATAGCCTTCCCGAAAGAACTCCCTGAGCCAGGGAATGTCCCTGTGCTGCAGCACATTGATTATATTGTTTTATATTTATTAATTCACACATATGCATATTTTTATGTTTTAGCTAAAAGTCATTTTGTAGTTGTTTGATATTTATGGATTTAGGCATTTTTAACTATTCGGTACTGTTTTTCCAATGAAATAACTTAGTACAACGTATTAGGTTACATTGAATATGAAACCTCGGTGTGGTATGTTGTAAATATTAAGTATTCGTCTTGCGATTATATAGCAGCAAAACTGTTTTAATTCATTATGAAAACAATTATAACAAACTGAAACGACGACTGTCAAAGACCACAGTCATTATTTTAAAGATAAAGAAAGCCTTCACTATAAAGAACAGACTACCTCTGAAGCAACATGATCACGTGATTTCCCCTCAAATCGTCTTTAACAACTGGAAGCTATGGGTCTTGTTCAAAATAAAAAAGTATTTCTTCTTTACTTTTATGTTACCTTGACCTTTTCACAGGCATACGCCCTAGTCATATACGTCAAATAATAGTTGCAGACTTTAAATAAGCCGACTTATTTTTACACTAATTTTATTTCTTTTTTAACCTATTGACATACATTCTGTTTCAGTTATATATATTTTTATATATTTTAATAGCGTATATTGGTATATTAATTTGCGAAATTAAATTTTGTATTTGAAAACAGGTTTTATTACATTTTGTAAAAGATGCACACTTGCGTATTATTCTCAAGCTAGTATATTCATTTCAATTTTGCAGTTGGCTACGAAGCTAAAATGTAATTTTCTTATCATTCTTTCGTTTATATATTATGGTTAGCTGTCAAACAATTTACAGACATATATTTTGTCTGATGGCTTGCCTAATTCTTTAAGAAATGTTCTAAATATTTTACAACAATATTTAAAAAAGAAAAATTAAAGGTAATTTATTTTGTACATTAGTAGGTATCTATGCCAAGTTATACATAATTATCATTGTTTTTTAAACCAGCTACGTTATTAATATACAATACATACTATTTGACCATTTATAATATAAGTATTGAAATGTATCTATTTCATGGCTTGAAGTATTATAATAGTCGGTAATTGTCGTGACTAGATAACAAAGATTGGACTTTCTGTGACCTGAATGTAGTTACTTTTGTCATAAATTCAATGAAGAAATAAAATAATAGCTTTCAAAAGACTATATATAAGTATGTCTAAAAACCATGATATCATTGGGAAATAAAATAAAATCCCCGATAAAATGTATTTGTCATGGCTTTTGAGCGTGCATTTAAAGACAATCCACGATATGTATTTGACCTGTTTAATTCGCAATGTCATATTAATAAGATTGACTTGCAATACATGATTTATTATGAGCCTCCCTTCTCTGTTCCTTCACCTCTTTTACCCCGTTTCTGTTTGGTGCCCTACTGAATGCCTTTCTGATCATTGTTTTGGCTAGATATTGCCGGGGCTGTGTTCTTGTTAACGGTACAACCATGTTGAACGTTTTATTCATGTTAAACATGATGAACATCTTGATTGGGAAAATAAGTTATTATTGATTGTCGGATGGTATATCTAACTAATTAACTGTTGATTTCGAGCGAAAACACGAATGGCTCAAATCACCTTCCATACTTTATACTTTAATGTTTGCCTTTTTTAATCTGTTGACCACATTCTGTTGTGTTCAAATATTAATAATTATCCCTCATGTACAGACTCAATCAAACCGAGTCTGCAAATCTTATGTAATTTTGTTGTGATTAATGCTTCCGAGGGATCACTTTGTTTCCAGATTTTTTTTCCTAATATCGTTAAGTGAGTAAGAAAGCTATGGAAACATCAATTATGCAAATTTGCATACATTGTTGTATTTTAGCATTGTTTTAATTAAATTGCAGGACCCTTTATCTTACAACGAATCGTTTAAACACAGTAAGACATTGTTATCAGTGTAAAGTCGTTTTTTTTTGTATTGACGTCGCTTTCGATTTGTCACTATCTTTTGAATGTTTATAATTAACAATACCCCGTTTCATAAGCAGATGTTCAATTTAAATGTTATACTCGTATCGTTTTTCTTTACAAACCCAAGTAATTTATCTAACAAGAATAAGATAATTAACTTCGTTCTAATATTGAAAAGAGTAATCCAATTTAGTGTTTAAGATACAAACATCGCGTGAAATTATGTTTGTTTCTTTTGTTACAAATAACAATACAAATGATTACTTATATCTTGTTCCTCAATGGTAATAACGTTACAAATGAAGTTATATTATATTGTCGATTTTAATCTGATATACTTTCAAAGTTCAACCATTTTGCAATCGTTAAAATCAGAAATATCAACAAAATTTTAAACAAAACTGTAATGCCACATTTTATGTATGTAAAACAATCTTATCAAAGCTCAGATCTTCTTATGTTTACATATAGATATGATTACTTATGTTGACATGCAGTTCTGATCACCGGTAGCTCATTTTCGCCTTCTAGCCCATTTGCATTTCCAGATAAGGCTTATTTTAATAAACCTTACCGAGAATTATTTTTAAGCAGCCTTCAACTTTTCTAACGATTCAATATCTAATCTTAAAAATAAAAAGTTTCATGTAGTTGTCAAATCAAAAGAAGATAGAAAGTGAAATATGCCAACAATAAAGTACATAAAAAATAAGGAATCCCTCGATACATCTAGATCTCTATATTCAAGACCTAAAAATGTTGTGTTTCCAGTGGTCCAGCGTTTAACCGGCCCGCTTTTTTAGCGCCGATCAAAAGTTTTTTCAATGATGTCCAAATTTTTCTATATATAACTTAGATTTTGAAAATAATTTTAAAGTCAAGATTTCTATTTTAAGTGGTCTGTTTAAACGTAAAACACATAAAACCAACTTCTATCGTACAATGTAATCATTCGGCGATACGGCTGAAGTTTGCGGCGCCCCATATATATTTTTAGTTTAAGCATTTTACTGCTAGTGTCAATGATAATAATATTTATATTCTCACGTGGAATATATATTCAAAAGAAAAGAAGAAGAAGTAATCAAAGACACATTACACACGGCTTTTGCAGTAGTAAGAGCAAAACTAGTGTATGGAAAGTATTGTTAATCCAAACAATGCTTGCTAATTATTACAGTAATTAAATCCATTTTTTAAGATTAAGTCACACTCATAATAAAAACATTTTGTAGTGCTCCCAAGTTTTTCTTTCATTATTACGTTTATAGATTCACCCGCGAATAATAGATTCGTTCGTAATTGTACAACAAAATATGATTCCTTGTTTTATTTAAGAACTTTGTAATACTTGCTTGCAATAATGTAAATCCAATATCAATTATAATATTTACCAAATCATTTTGATTTCTATAGCACAAGTATTTGTTTTACGATTTCTGTTTTTTAAAATAAAACTGTTAACACGTATTATTTTTGCTATGAAAAAGGCATGTCTGAAATTCCAAAATTAAGATTTATACATTGCTTGTTATGCTGATGTATTGAAAAGGTTAAAAATAAAGGACTTAGAAAAATATATCCTAATGCAATTCTTCATTGCAAGATAAGCAAACCAAATGCAGTGATTTTGTGCATAACGGTGTAATATAATGTATAAAAAGAATATTATGACATGTTTTATATACTGTAATAGTAAGTTGTATGAAAATTATTTGCATAAACACTGTCTTAAATTATTTCATAAAGCAGGGGTGACTTATAATAGCATGCAGTCTGCCAACTCAACTGCATACCCCATTCTTGCATTAAATATTTTCCTTACTGTCAAAACCTTGGATAGAAAAAAAATCAATTTAGTTTATAAATTGAAATTTGTAAATGTTGTAAAAATAGAAATACACACTACACCAGGAAATTTTGGAAGGTATCCTTCAGTAGTATAATACATGTATATTTATATTTTGATAATACAGGATTTAACCTATCAGTTTAGTTCTTTGGTTGTTTTTGTTTTTGGCAAGAATAACTACAATGTATGAGAATACAGGAATCATTATAGTGAGCAACACATTAAATAGCACACTACAGTCCTAATATCCATATTATATACATTGTTTATAACTACAATCATTATTGACTGAGGAAAGAAAAATTCCTACCTACCGACCCTACTACTTTTGCCACAACAATTTTCCTTCAGGCCTAAGTAAAGCGAACGATTCGTTTCCCAGTATTCTATTTTTAGGCACTAATGTATCTGACGCGTTATAAATTGTTCACGGGACGCTGTTTTGAAGAACAGGTTTAACAGTATTATGATGTACTTCTCCAAGACAAAATATAATGAAATACTAGCTTGAAACAACACAGAATTGGTTTCCAATCTGAAATTATAAGCTAAGGTGCTTTAACTCATCCGTGAAGTAAACATTAAGTAGATATTTGGAATATAATTTCTTAGGTTCTTAGGAATAATAAGTTCTGTCATTTTTGGTGTCCAAGCATTAATTCTTGGTTATTTATCTAATCTCGACATTTTTTACACCTGTTAAAGTACACGTTTCTAGTTTCCCAACGGTTAAGAATGAAATTAATCCACTTTCATGAACGCGAAAGCGGTCACTGATTGGCTGATTGAAATGTCACGAGCAGGTGACCTCCTCGGCCATATTCAGATCTATATGTGAGCGTAAAGATCTTAACCCAGAAAACTCAGATTGGTATGTTTCCTAACATAACTGCATGTTGTTATTCTTTGCATGAATGTTAACATTTTGGTCATTGAGTGCCATTGTTTTGTTTAATTCTGTTTGAGATGCTAGAAATATTTACGTTTTATTTGATCTCATACACAGACACAATCAACAATGTTTTGAATATTACTTTTTTTAACTTGTTTTATTTTTCTTTTTAAATCATGCGAATTTAGAAAACGGTTATCATAAAAATAACCTAGCTTATTACAATTTCTCTTTCTAGGCATGCCATTTAATTTTCATATGATCATTATTTAAGGTTGGCATCATTTAAAACAAAGCAAAGACACTATGGCGACGAGTATCAATAATGTTCAGAAATCTGACCAAGAGGAAGGTATACAGCATTTAAATTAATAATTTTGGATACCTTTTTATGTGTTATTTTGTAACTAACTTGTAACTGTGAATGCATGTAAAATCAGATAAACAAGCAAATTTGTTGACTTTGTATCCCCGTCCGAAAACTGTTTATTTCTAACCACAGTAAGTGCTCAAAGTGTTATGAACGAAAGTATTCAAATCCTTCAACACGTTTGGGTATTCTGTTAATATGTATTTTGCCCAAGTATTGATATGCTCTGTCCATATATATATATAGATATGGAAATTACAGCAAAGCTCAATACAATGACTTTGTAGGTCAATGTTTTCCAAGGTCAATGTCACGAATTGGTATTTATTATTCCTATAAAGTCTTGTTGAAATCCAGTTAGCAGATTGAAATAAATAACGCAATAACATGTTTCATAGAAACTTTTTTCCAGATATCTATACATCACAACAGCTAGCGTCAAGTGATGTGTGGCAGCCGTAAAAAGTTGCCCCGTACTTCACTTCAGTGTTCAGTGTTCAAATTTTTCTGATCCTTAAGGATAATTGAGTCCAGCACTTTTAAGTGTTAAGAATAGAGTATCGCTCAAGCCGGTGCTAGAGGGCGTGAGGAATATTGCACTCTTTCATTACCCCTCATGTTTGGACTCCATCAAACCAAGACTGCAATTTTCATGTAATTTTACTGATTTAAATCAAGATTTTGTATGAACGGATTGACAACTAGACAGACTGACAACGTCTTAACATTATCACCTCCCGATTATATTGGTGGGAGATGCTTTGTAATTATGTTGAAAACCTTTTTCGTTTCAGAATTAAAGAGCAGAGATATACCTGATGTCGGAGAAGAAACTGCCACGTCCAAATCTATTCCTAAAGAAAGTAAATAATTGATTCATCAATTATAGTAGAAAAATACGAATGATACTATTTATTACCATATATTGTTGATAAAATAATACCTGAAAAGGTGTATCTTATCTTTATCGATGCTCTGCAGATTTAGTTATTGGTAATATAACTGACAATACTGTCTTCAAATATAAGCACAATACTGAAAGTTTCTTTATTTCGAAATGGTTGTTAACAATATAATGTGAGGAATAATTGTTTTCATTTTATATACTTCCAGTTAATACATATACAATGTTGTTAAGCTACAAACTCCAGATAGTAATGAATGAATGAATGAATGAATGAATGAATGAATTAATGAATGGATGAATGAATGAATGAATAAATAAATAAATAAATAAATAAATGGTTTATTATAGACAAGTCAGGTTTAATGTGCAAATACATTTTAATGACCTCTTAATTCAAAAAGATAGTTGACAAAAGCTTTACTGAAAATGTTTCCATTTTGCATAATCTGACTTTAAGGCATTGGTACGGACAAGTGTACTATATAAATTAAAATAAGATATTGGAAAAGCTTAATAATACAAAAGAAAAAGTAATGGAAAAAAGGAAAGGTATTATAAATTCGAAGTAAAGTGCATAGTTTGCCAAACCCACAATTATGTCGCGTTTTTACGCCTTTTATTTTGCTTTATTACGCCTTTAATTCTGTGTTTACATGCTTTTGTTCCGCGTTACAACACCTTTTGCTTTGCGTTACCTTTTGCTCTGCGTAACAACACCTTTTGCTTTGCATAATTTCCCCCATTGTTTCATGTTATAACGCCTATTGTGAACGGTATAACGCCGTTTTTTGTCAGTGACACGGAATATTGGCAGTATCCAGTATTCAAAAATCTGTTAAATGACATACATAGTAATCCGTCGGTATTGTAATATTGTGATAAAAGTATAAAAAGGAACCTACACAGATAGTGTTTAATTCGTTGTTTTTTTTTGTTTTTTTTTCAGAAACACGTATCAGTAGCGGTTATGCAAGTATGATGATTCAAATTCACTTTCTCCCTTTCTTAGAATATCATTTTGTTTAATTGCTTCCTCGACTATTGATTCATAATTTAACAAAATGAACACTTATGATAACAACACATCATGAAAAAGTTTTAATTATTGATCGGCGATAATGTCTTGGAATGGAATTTGTTTTCATACAGTGTTTTGTTTTTAAATATATCCTTTCACATATATTAATTATAAATGTCATTTATCTTTATTTAACAATATGCTTTGTTTATTACTGAGTAAGAATGATATAAATGATAAAAAAAACATCCAATAGTTTCTGTTATGCATAGATTATCATTTTCAATTGCAAACGCCTTTTAAAATATGTATGTCTCAACGTTTCTGTTTTTATCATTCAGGTATTTACACAGAAAATGCAATCTCTGAAGACAGGTTTGTGCGTGGTGATTATTCTTTTAAGAATCGTGACGAAGGTAATAATTTTTCATAAGAATGTCACCCTAGAAATATAATCGCATGGAGTGTTGTTTTTATTGTACATATTCTTTTTTTTAATCTTAAAACATAATTGTATGGCCGTTTTAAGCCGCCCCGTAATTCAATAAATAATTTTATATTTTTTAATATTAAAAATCGTTCAGCACGACATTATTTGTGTTGTAATAGTTAAGTTCCCTCTATTTGAAAATTTTATAGTAAGGTGATTCAAGTATTCCTTTTCGAATACTGTATTATATCCATAAGAATAAGTTGCCTTTGATTAAAATTTGTCTTTAGTAACTTGTCTGTGATATAAAGGCTTCAGTACTTCTAATCCCGTATTATACGTATTATATAATCATCTCGTAAACTTGGGACCTTACTACATTTACTACATTTTTTCAATAGAAGTCGAAATATGTTGTCTTATCTTGACTTTTGAACAAAATAAGTTTTTTTTTCGAAAAGGAGATGTTTGATTTCTTTTTGTTATGGTTTATCTTCATTTTGTTTTGTTTGATCTTGATGAAGGCCCTGTCACACTAGGTTGCACTTGCACTGCTTTTGCATGGCGATGTTAAATGTAACAAAACGCGGTTAGCTCGTAATATAAAAAAGTGCCATGCACATGCAGTATAAGCACGTTTAAGACGCCACGCAATCTCCGTACAAGCGCTGTGAATAACCACCGCGATCATTCGGCGTTCACTTTGCGCTTTCACTGCACTCCTGTTGCGTTGTAGGAGATGCTTCTACGTTGGTACGGCGTCCTTAAGTGCGATCTCACTGTGCTCATATCAGAACGCTGAGTGACTGCGTTCGTTTTTAACCTGCTCAAAATGCGTGCGTCAGTCAGCGTTGTATGCGATGCCACTACGATGCTAGAGCGATTCTGCGTCGATGTTTACGATCGATCGTAATGCGCTCACCTCAGCGTTCTGAATATTTTTTGAGCGACGTAAGAACGCCGTCCTAGTATGACAGGGGTTTTAAAGATTACATTAAGATACACGTCTGCAAATGTGACTGATATGCATGTATATTGTGGATATATGCATAATTATGTATGATGTATTATGCACATCATAAAATTAATGTGAACTATTTTTTTTATCCAGATCAATGTAGTCAAGGAACAGAAACAGATTATACCGAACAAGACAATAAAGAAACCGAAACTACGTTCAAAGAAAGTAATAATATATTTTATCGTCATTTCAGCAATTGATATTTACTCATTTGTCTGTTTTGTTGTTTGTTTGATATTTGTTTTCCTGAATTTCTACATTTTTCGCCAAAATGACTGACTACTTATCCAAAATGATTTCGGAGTCAGAGGTAATAGTCAAATGACCATATGACTAAATGTCGGAGATCAATTGTCACTGAGAAGAGAATTTTTTAGAATCAGCGTTACCAGGGTTACATATCTGACATACCTCTTTTGAGGTCAGCGGACAGGCTTGTATAATAAAAAGCAACCTCATCTTTCCAGTGATCCATTATAAAATAGCGTAAAACTTACGAAGATGCTATGATAATGCTAACAATGATACATGTATAAAGATGCATCCTCTGCATATAAAAAATCAAAAGGCCATCTAATATCAGTTGTATTTCATGTAAAATTTATAGGGAAGAATTAAATATAAGAAGAGTTATCTTTGGTCATTTTGAAATTACAAACTGAAATCTGGCAATCTCGATGGCCATTCTGAAAAGGATAGTTCAAGCCATTCTAAAATAAAATTTTAAGGATAATTTTATAATAAAATGTAAAACATAGTTCTTGCCATTATAGAATAAAATGTATAAAATACATGTAGTTCTAAATTAAAATGGATAATTCTTAACTTTCTTGTTAAATTTAAGTTCTGTTAAACCATACCTACTGCCACAAACAAACATTTTACTGTGTGTTTGGATCTAATTACATTTTCTAATGAACATTCTTTTTTACATAACAACTTACTGAGATTTTTTAAAACAAAAACTTATTAAGTTATAATATTTGTCCAAATTGCTTTTAGACTTGTGAATATTTTTCAGTATTTTCCTTCTTCTTTTAAAATCTAAAATGACATTCAGTATATACATGTATAAAAATAAGAAATTTACATTGAGAGTAAAAAAATTGTGACGAAATAATTGAATACAACATTTGTTAACAAAAAATTGTTCCATTTGATTGTGGTGTTTACGTTTAGCTTCAGACACCCACACTTTCACAAAATATGGTAGATTGCGTTGTGAACCACATTTAGGTCCATCTCTATCACATTTGTTTGGTCGGTAAACAATGTTTTTGCAGCGTTTTTAGTATTCCTTTTTCACCATAACTTAATATAAAACGTTTATAATTAGTGTGTCGATTTTATACTATCCATTATCCTCTTATGATTTTGCAGTATTTTACATGTGATTCTTTTAATAATACTGCTATGATGCATTTAATTACAAAATGTAACGAATCAAACGAAAAAACAAGTAATAGGGAAACCCTAAATTAATACAGTAAAATCTAAATTTTCCTACTTTGAAGAGACATCAATGTCAATATGCTAATAATTTAATTTCTTTGTTTACAAAATGTATTTTTTTTTCTTAGCTACAAATTATTATGTCTTAGTTATGCAAGCATTGCTAAAATTACCATTTGTATTGAACACTAAAATATGCAAGTTTACCAGTTTTACTTCGGCCTAGTATCATTTTAAGGATTTTTGACCTCATCAATATGCTTTATTATTGCTTGGGTAGGTATATTGACCTGAGGCATTTGAATATTCAATGACCTTTTGCCGGTAATAATCGGATTAATATGTATTAATCAAAATTATGAAATACAAAAAATGTTAGAAATAAAACACACGTGTCACGGTTCAGAACTGTTCACGTTTTAGGGGAGAAGATGTGTAAGCGAACGGATAGCTCAATAACTCATGTTTCAAATAATTAAAAGAAATAATGACATATCAATTTATGAAAAAAAAAAAACAACTTTTTAAAAAAAAATCATAATAAATAACGGAAACTAACGAAACACCCTCCGAAAATTGATGAGTCTCAGGTCAATATTGCCAAACATTTCCATTTTGATTTTCGTTGACTGTGTGTCGTTTTGTGTGTGTGATTAATATCGATATAATATTTACATTTCTTTTTTCAGAAACATTGACCAGCGGTTATGCAAGTATGTTAACGACTTGATTTCAACTTTAAATTTAAGAACTTTAAATTATGTAGAAGATGGTCACAAAACTACGGGATATTTTCTGATTTTAACGTATCATTTCATTTTTACAACGCAGTTGACGAAAGCGGAGAAATAATTAGCAAATTGTAATGTTTGTAGAAATAATGCAAAACATTCGAGCATATACATGTTTAAATGTCAATATTCTATCAAATGTATGAACTGTATCAGTAATGAACACAGTGGAGGAATATGAAGTTACCTTCAGTTATAAAACTGTTACCTTTAATGACAGACATATTAAACAGATTTGAGTTTCCATTTGTTATTGCAAGATGTTAAAGTAAATGTGTTCGTTATTTATACATTGTTCATTTGTTAATGTTTGGTTAACTGTTACATTAACTCGTATATGTTCAGGTAACTGTAAAGAAAATACAATCATTGAAGACGGCACTGTGACAGAAAGCGTCAAAACAACGGATCTCAAAGAAGGTATTTTTTTAACTTGAATTCACATTAGGCATCCACAGAGTGGCGGTAAAAACCACTTAAACAATTTTAGTGATTGTTAAAATTCGTTTAAAACTAGGATAAAAAATTGAAAGAAGTAATGTAAGTAGTGATAGACACTAGTGATTTGCAAATATATTACTATTTAAGTAATCGTGCAAAGTTCTCAAAAACAGTTTTGTAAATTTGGGACTCATTCGATTTAATAGAAACTTGTAGATCAGGAGATTTTAACCCTCTGGTTTGCTTGACATTAATAACATTTCAAAAGTGTTTTGTAACAAAGTTGTGACCCGTTTTATGTGAATTATATGTTTTTAATCTTCTTTATCATTGAGGTTATTCCAAAGAGACTACAAGACTTGAAGAAGACCTCTTGAATGTAGAATCTCAGAACACGGAAGTTAATGAACTTCAAGGTAATTTTCGATTAACAGTTGAATGCATTATAATTTAGAAATTTACTATAATATTCTATACATGTTTACTGCCTTCATAGAGGATGACATGCTACTGTCAGAAACAATACATTTGAATGGCGATGTCGTAGAAAATGGCATATACATATTTATACAAGAGTGCGTAACAAATGTTAATCTAGATTATTAAATTAAAACATGGATCTGTATGTTTCACTTCAGATGTCAAATCAATTCGTCACATGTTCAGTTTCAATCAAAGCAAATTCATTTTCGCTACAAGCATACATCTTATTTCCTGATGGGCGGGGCTTTTGTTTGATACCAGATTACTTGACTGATATATTATCGGAAAGTTACCATATAAGTTGCGTGATAAGTTGCATTGTTTGATGCATGTATCTGATAGAAAAATAAAAAAATACAATATATCTAATATGTATATTCACCCATCCCGGTGATGTATACAAAAGCCGGAAGGTTTATATTTGCTGTAACATATTTTATTTTCATTATGCCAGAGAAAGGAAAGATAAAAACGCATTATTCACAGAAAATAGCACACGCTGTATGTATTTATCTAGTGTAGTCTACATTTAAACAATTATTTCTTTTCTTGCAGTCGTTGTTAGTCTTTGTGTAGGTAACACAATATGCATTGAAACTGAACAAAACGTTTCAAATCTGAATCACAAACAGAAAATACTTCGCAATTTTCGATATTTAAAACATGAACTTGATGATGCAGATCTCCGCATTCGTTTTTATCAAGGCCAGTTTTTCAGTGAAAATGATTTAGAGGAATTAAAAGCTAAGAAAGTGAGACACAAACGTATTGACCGATTCCTACGTAAAATACTACGACTGAGGTCAGAGGCCTATCCGAAATTCTTGCAGTATCTTGGTGAATGTGGCTATGGATATATTAGCGAACATCTTGAGAAAACAGAGTCAAAAATGTGTATGTCAAACATTTACTGTTTTGTTCAAAGTTATATTATCTAAACTATATCATTATTTGTATACTACTGAACACCCTTAAACATCATTCAGACAAAAAGCGCACTTATTTAATTTAATATATTTTTTAGAAAAATAAGCATATATACATTATACTAACATTATATTATGATTATAGACCAATAGATATAATAGTTTAAAGAATTCTTTTGTTGTTGGTTGTTGAAATTACGTCGTAACAGTAAAAGTTATATGGCAACTTTACTGGTAAGGAATGACATCATATGCATCCCCGCATCAGGAACGAACGGGCACCTGAGTAGAACCACGGATATTTCAGAAGCTATTTGGAGAGTTACCCTCTGACGTTAGTCCCTTACGGGATTCGAATTTACGGCGGTAATGGAACTTTTAATATATAAAGCAAATTAAGAATTTATTCGATTATTTATTCATGTAACAAATATGTTCCAACCAGTGTATTTTGAAGAGTAGTTTTTTTATCATTTTACATCATGTTTTAAATATCTTTCATATTACTCAATTTTAGTCATACAATCTAGCCAGAACAATAATGAAGGGTTAAAAATCTTAAAGCGTTCTAAAGCGAAATTCCTCGAGGAGCTTGAACCAGATTGTATAGCAGATTATTTTCTGCAGTGTGGAGCCTTTACAGTCGACGAGTATGAAGATGTAATCGTGAAAGATACAAGAAGAAAGATGGCAGAAGTTATTTATAAATTAATTGTCGAGTCGGAGAACAAAATAGCTTATGACGTTTTAATAACAGCATTGAAAGAAACTGGGACAGCGGTAGACCTCTTGAAAATTCTGACGACGGAAAGACATATGACCTGTCACACTTCAAGTAAATGCAAAAACATTGTTTAATGTAGATACAATATTATCAGCTTATTCTAAATTAAAACATGTCAGAAATTGTAGATGTATTAAAGTAGGAGAAACTGCTGATGCCCTTACACAAATTAAACATAGCAAATTAACGACTCATACACGTGCTTCAAATAACTAACACGACTTTCAAGTTTTAAGGATAACGGTATATATTTTATATTTATAGTACCAGATGAAAAAACATTGTCTATGAAACTGGACCTAAGAAGGGTAAAGGAATGGGATTCAAAAGACATGACTTCCGCATTGAAAGGTAAAAGCAAATTGATTGCCATTTGATATACATGTAGTAAACAATAATAAGTTCTTTTTTAGTATTTAGGCAAATGTCTTAATTTATTACAAACATGCTTAGTTTTTTATTATTTCAGTGTTCATACTTGATTTAAAAATAAATAAACATTTTTTATCAACTATTACAGACAGCAAAGTATGTCAACTACACATCAGTCTTAAAAGCTGTGAAGAAATAAAGAAATTGGACATTAAAATCGTACAAGAAGCATTAAGATACGATGTGATGGTGTCAATAAATGACAATTTGATCCAAGCAAATGAATGTGTGATTTCGTCTATATCAAACGGCAGTATTATTATATCATTGAAAGGGTGCAAAAAGGATTCCTTCAAAAAATTATTCGCTACAAATATACAGGATCCAGTTTTAAATATACTGCGATGTTTGTTCCTCAATACTAATATCAGAGGATTACTTCATCGCAAAGCAATAGTATTAGAAGTTGAACTGAGATACATTCCACCAAAAAAAGAAGGTACGTAGTTTAATTTTTACTCTCTAAAAGAATGAAAACGTTCAATTTCAAAAAGACGAAATTTTCGATACATGTAATAAAATAATTTCAAAGATTTCATAATTTCATCACCTTAAAATATTTAATAAAAAGATTCCTACGAATTACTTGAGATAACGCGTACAAACCTCTATTTTTTCTAGAAAAGACATTCGATGTGGTAGAAACCCATTTCGACTTTTTAGTGGAAGAACTTGATGTTTTCCAATTCATAGAGCCACTTAAAGAGCAGAATGTTCTGACGGAATATAACATTATTGAAATTGTAGAGAAAACACAAGATTCACGTACTGCAAGAGTAACAGCCCTGCTGAAACATATTCAAATGCGGAGGAAACAGGACATTTTTCTTGCAATTTTAAAGGAAAAAAAGGAATATGTATGGGATCATATTTGCGGATCAGAAAGTAAACACTTAAGTACTTCCTGGTCATTCTTTCCTTTTTGTGCATTTCAAACAAACCATGAATAACTTAAAAAGTATAAAAGATAATTTATTTAAAGCCTTGAATTCAATTTAAATTCTGATTGCTGTGCATAGAACTCGATCAATGTAATAAATCTAAGCACAGGGCGGTGAAAACTCCCGACATTATGATTATATTTCAACAACAACTAAAAGTATAATTTGAGAAAATAGATACGAACGGCAAAGTAGTTCTAAGAGTGTTAGATTGCCAAATAATATTCAACACTGAGCGTATAGAACTAATAAGCCATTAATTTATTTTAGATTCAGAAAAAGGGCCTGAATTTCCTGTCGACATTTTGGTAGATTCATATGAGGAAACTAGCGGAAAACATGAATCCTAGCCTTCTTGTTAAAACGGTTTTTTTAAAGAGAGAGAAATACCAATGGATTTCCAACTTCTAAATCGGAACATAAAAGCCAAATTTATTTTGCAACATTTTTATGGTGATGGGTAAAGAAAAACGTTCAAAGTTTCTACATACACTCTTCATGTTGGATCAAATACCATCAACACTTTGGAAGCATGAAGTTGATCCAAAGATAAGTCTAGTAATTGGTATGTAAACTATTCGTTGTTTTATAACATGATTGTTTGGTAGTTTTGATACAATATAAAATAAATTTGAAGATATTCTAAAGTCACTCGGGTAAATATTTATGTGAATTTCAAATTCGCATTTATTTCAAATCATGTGTGTGAATGGTTCCCTACAGGTAAAGGTGTTTTGTCTCTCAATCCAGGAATGTATGTTCGAACTGCTGTTTTTAAACTACGTCTGGCATACAGTGCTTTCGGGACTCGATATGTTTCTTACATATATCTTTTTAATTATATCACGTTTACACACATACATGTATGTAGACTTCAATCCTATTACACACACACACGCACGCACGCACGCACGCATGTACACACACACACATACACAGTCATACACACATCCATGAACAGACTAACAAAACCTAGCATGCAATATTTTCAATTTTGACATTTGGGCGTTATGTAGGGGTTTTCCGTTTTAATTTCTCCATCTTTTTAAAAATTAGCGTCATATGGTCTCGCAAAATATTGCACTTTTTTATATTCTTTTTGTTTGATATTCGGCATAATTCAAAGTGAGAACTTACTTATTGCAAAAAAAGTAATGCTAACAAATATTCGGTTTTGGTAATAAAACCTTGGTGCATTTTTCATAATCAAAATTTAGCTATTTGTTTTTCACCTTGAACATTTTCTTTTTTTTTCTAGAAGGAAGTTCAATTCAATATAGTATCAAAGGAGCTGCTAAAAAAGGTTAAGAAGACGAAGAAAAAACGTCTAGCTGTCATATTTGCTGCAGATATTGTTGTGAAGAAAACGCCAAGTATTCTTTTTCCTTTTTTTTCACAAGGAAACCAATATTTTTGACATGATAAAACAATTCATTATCCATAAATAAGTAAACAACCATTGTCTTTCATAAAATTACAATGAAGTTTTAACAAAGACACACTAATGTTTAAGTTATTGCATAAAAATGAAAAGAGCTTCCACCAAAAGTTGATGATATAATTATTCTTTTATCATTGCAGCGATCAAAGCAGACGTAAAAAATACATTGTCGTCCCAAAGGCATAGCAACATAAAAAGAGATATTTCATTGCCATGGAAATTCAACATAACAGACAAGATAAGACCACTAAAACCAGAACCAAAACATATTTCAGTCAAGATGACGACAAGAGTCTTATCAATGGAAAGATGACGAAGAATGGATGAAAGCAACGATAACAGATTTATCAAAAATCATTCATTTGTTCGAGTACAAACACTACGACGCAGGAGTGTAACAAAGTAATGTAATAAAAATGATATTACACTGGCGTAGTAACACTTTGGTGTGACATTATTTTCGTAATATACATATATATCGTTATTAAAGCGCGCTATTGTTAGCGTTACTCTATTGGTGCGTCAAACCATTTTTATTTTTGAATATATGATAAAAAAATAATTATATTCTTGTATATAAAATGTATTGAACTCATTGAATATATAACAATAATATGATTGCCGAAGGCTTGCATAATATGATTCTGTTTCAACACGTTCAATAACTTTAGTATTAAACCTTCACTTATTCGATATCCCCTTAATCTTATGCAGATCTTTTTTTGAAGTAATAATTTTTGCTTGCTACATGTGTATTATCATTGTTACTTAATACATAAATCATTTCATCTTTTAATAAAACAAATTTTTAAATGACATCAGTGAAGAGAAAAAAAGAAATAAAATGTAAAAAAAATAATAAGAAATGAAACCTTTTCCATAAAGTTTTGTTTAAACTTTGTGAGCTGTTTCAAAATATGCACATTAAACAAAAGATGTGTTTTAGGAACCATATTTAAGCCCCGTTTATTTATTTATGTGCATTTGTTTTACATATTAATTAATTCATTTTACATTTTTCTATGATTACTTTACATAACATACATAACAAAATGAATACATATGTTGTTGTGTAAGTGGACATTTTAAAAGAAGTTCAAAGAGGTTAAACGTGAACCTCTTTTGGAAAAAGGATATAATACTTTAAACAAAAGTTTAATTGAGTCAATTATAGAGTTTTCAGTCAATAGGAAATATCTTTTTTTTCAACAAACAACGTTAAGATGAAAACGAAAAAAAGGTAGTATCAAGAAAAAAGCTGCTTTAGTAATATACTGCTGATATATCATCAATCAGTACTTAAAGCATTACTAGAAAGTTGTTCCACTTACTGTTAAAATAATCAGATAATAATTTTGAAATGCTATGTATTTTCCTAAGGATGTTTCATCAAGCAATTTTTTAAACAAAGATTATTTCGTATTTTGGCAAAAAAGAGAATAATCATATATGATAAAATCTTATTTCGGGAATGAAAATGTGACAATAAAAATTGTCTTTGTTAACATGTAATACAATTTCAACAAACCATTTAAACAATTCATTCCAAAAAAACTTTGTGTTTTTTGACAGATTCAAAATATATATTCTATGCTATCTATTTCCAATATTACAAAATCACTAGATTTTCACAAAAAGGCTAGACTCAACTAATTTACACCTAAAGAGAAATTTGTTAGTTGCAATATTTCTATGTAAGAAGTCAAAATACAAAATTGCAAAATATTATCCTTACAAAATATCAAACGCATTTAAAATATATAAGTGTTGTCAGTTGAATTTTTTATCTTGAAATACTGTCTCCCAGAGATTATTTCTGATTTGATGTATTTTTACCATGTTTGTTAATATTTGTATTTTGCTTCATCTGTAAATGTTTTGTAGTGTTCTTGACATTTTGTTTATACAAATTAATCTTATTTAAATATACAACTAAGAACGATTGTGTTTATTTTGAGATTCTCCTGCAGTTTCATGGACTATTTTACTAATTACGTTGGAAAATGTATACCAGTTTGGATTTCTGTTTATTGATCATTAATTGTTTCATGCTTTCGTTCATGTTATTTGTTACTTTATTAACATCTCAATTGCATACTGATTATATGGTCAATGCACACAATATATTAATCTTTGATAAATGTTTAGTAACTTTTTCTGAGATGTGCGTAGTAAGATGTGATTAAATTCCACTTGCTTCTATGAAATTGTTATACTGACCATTATAGCGCAATAGGGTAAACTGCAATTTCTAAATGTCGTACGTGTTGTAAGTTCGAGTGTTTGTTTCTTCTTATTTATAACTATTTCAACATTATTGAAACTATGATTTTCTATATTGTTCTGTTTTACTTTTTAATATTTTTGCACTTATTTTAGTAAATATTATATATTCTTTCTAAAATACCACGGTTTAAGAATTAATATATAAAATTCATTCCGATTAAAATAAAAAATGTCATTTTAGTGCCGTAAAATGCAACGCAATTCGAGACAAAAAAATGTTATATCCCTGTAGACAAGTTTGCATTGCAAGCACTTGGCTATATTTATTGAAATATATTTCAGACTTAAACAATGGCAAAAGTAGGGATTGAAGTATTGTTGTTGCAGTTGTTGTTGTTGTTTAAGAATATGGGTAATCTTTTTAACAAAACGAGATTTTTAGATCTATTGTTGTCACTGTTTTTATGTTCTTTATTTTTCAGATAAGTGAAAAAATTATAATAATTGAGCCGTGTCATGACAAAACCAACATAGTGGGTTTGCGACCAGCATGGATCAAGACCAGCCTGCGCATCCGCGCAGTCTGATCAGGATTCATGCTGTTCGCTTATAAACCCTATAGCAAGTAGAAAAACTGATAGCGAACAGCATGGATCCTGATCAGACTGCGCGGACGCGCAGGCTGGTCTAGATCCATGCTGGTCGCAAAACCACTATGTTGGTTTTGTCATAACACGGCTCATATATGTGGTCTGAGCGATGTTTATCGGCTTATTAACACCGGTTTGGAGTTTTGATGTGATGTCCACGAATGCCGTCGGCCTGTGTGGTCATTTTTTTTCTCGCATCAAAACTACAGACAAGTGTTGAATGCCCGTTAAGACCGCGCTCCGACGGCTTTTTTAACTATTCAAAACAAGAGCAACCATTAATGTCATACTTTTCATTTGAGAAAATTTCCGCTGCCGATATGTTTATTGAGATGTTTTATTTCTCACCCTATGTCATTAAATGTAAAAATGATTAAACACAATAGTTACAAAATGAAGTTCTAAGGATTTTTTGCCTTTTATACCGTATAAGTACTTATTTCTGCGGGCTTAATATTCTGCGATTTTGGTTAAAATAAGGGGTTTTAAATTTCGGCGTATCTTATTTCTGCGGTGTCATCATTCTCGCATTGATGCTTTTTATTTCTGCGTTTTAATTAAGATATTTTTTTTTTTTTACAAAATTAACCGATACAAACAGAAAACTTTTAAGTGTAACACTGCATGTGTATAAATATGAAGTGTGAAAAATGAACAATGGTAACATCGCACGTAGACACATATATTGTACAAATACAAAAGGGTATGTTTATTGCACCCTCAAACTTTAATAGTATTATTTTAAAATAAACCAAGCTTAGGGTGAGCGAAAATCATACAAAAAGAACAAGTAAAGTAACTTTTTTTCTAATATTTTATTTCATGACGGATACATAAAGAAAAATTCCCATCTACAGTACATGATAATGTAATTATACATAACAGGTAGTTGACATATCCGACATACATGTAGACAATGTCTACTAGACATATGCGGAATGCTTAATTTTCTGGGGTTTTTAAATCTGCTGGTGTCGTTATAAACCGCAGAAATAACAGAAAAATAAAGTTTCCCGCAGAAAAAAGTACTTTATACGGTACTTTTATAGTTTTTAGAAATGATGTTTAATTCGATAGAATATTTCCTAATCAATATTTTTGGTTTATTTCAATTTTTTTCTGGTTATATTCAATAATGTGCCACGATATATTCACGTTAGCCCCTGCGGTTTATATGAAACACTTTATATAAGATAATCATACCATTTGTAAAAAGTATGAGCATAAAAGCAAATTACTAAAATAAATCAAATTTTTTTTTTAATAAATAAGTACAGTACAGTGTAATACACCTCATTTTCTTTTTTAATATTATTGAATTTTTCGATGTAATAAGTTCCCAAATTTTGTTACCTTCCCATATTTGATTTAATATTAATTTTGTCCGTTCTATTGTATACATAGACAATGGCTCTGTAACACTACCAGAATATGTGAAAATATCAAAATATCCTTTTTTTTATCATGCGCAAAGTAAGGACATATGAAAGTATGAGTAAAAATCCGGACATGATTGATGCTTTGGAATCATTAACCCTTTACCTCATATATACTCGAAACAATGAACTTTTCGACCCCCCCCCCTTTTAAGGCCTGAAATTATGAAAAAAATGTCCTATTTGGGCCCCCCAAACACATGTTTTCGTTTGAGAAATTGTTGCTAAAAAAAGTGAGCACTTTTTCGGCACCGCCCCCATCCAAAAGATACATCAGGGGGTTGCCAGAACGGGGATGTGCCCCATTCTGTTTTGGGGGTTTTGAAGGGGGCGGAGTCCCCCTCATCGCCAAAGAAGATTTTGGACTTGTGAGAGGTTAAAAAATGACCCCAGGTCAATCATAAGGTAACGTGTAACCAACGCTGAAAAGCCCTTGACTCTAATCTCAATCCCTTGTGAAGTTGCAGCACTTTGAAATAATTTTTGATGGAAAAATCGAGGCAAAATAGTGATTTTTGGGCAATTTTGAGATGTCCCCTCGTTGCCATGGTAACAGGAAATTTAAGACTGCACATGTTCGTTACAAAGGCAATGGTCCAGTCAACATTTTGTGCCAAAGTTTGATTAGTATTGAAGCATATTTCATAGTTTTCGTAGCAGTTTGTACTTATAAGAGGAGGCTTTTTCAGTGAAAATGGCCATTTTTCACAATATTGCTCATGGGGGAAAGGGTTATTTAATCACAATAAATTACATGAAAAATGCAGACTTGATTTGACCAAGTCTGTACATTAGGAAAAATGAATCTGCGACATCCGACACGACCCTAGCGCTTCACCAGAACTAAATTTGCAACACTCTAAAGCGCTGACATCAATGATCTAAAAGGATTAGAAAAATATGGCAAGTATATCTAAAAGCAATACATTGTTATTTTCATAAAAAAGGAATTTACGGTAAATTATTCAAATGAATTAATACGATCGAAAGTGTTTTCAAAACGACAAAAGAGTTGTTTAAATATATATAAATTTTGTACGTTTTCGACCGAATATATGCATAAGTATTTTACGTTCAATTATTTGAATAATAGGAAAAGAAAGAAGAAATATACACACGCACTCTAGCACAGACACACATACATACAAAAACACGTACACAAAGACAACGTTTTCTGACTGGACAGTTTTCATTTTTGAAGTCTTAGATTAATCAGTAATCAAAAGGTAACCCAAACGTAATCCCTTTGATTGATTCGTCATCATTACGAACCCGACATCCACCTCCGCCCATTCCTATATCATAAGAGTTAAACATCATCATGTTTGGAATAAAACGGGACGGTTCAACCGACTTTGAGCAAACTTTCCAGCCGTCTCGAACATTTGTTTGTCGAAATGTGATAATCGCAATGTTCTCAGAATGATATATTACGAAGAAATTGTTAGGATTTGTATCACCATTTATGAAGGTATAATTCTTTCCATTGCATGCATAACCTTTAAGAATACCATGATGGTCGCCAAAGGATATCGGTATGAAACCTAAATAAAGGTACGGTATTGGCACACCCTCAAGGTATGTAAAGTCAGGGTGTTTGCTATTGAACACGGAAACATTGAATTGACTGCGATATAACGGAAGAACTTCGATTTTAGATTCATATTGTATTCCATCTCTTAGATAACGCAGCATGACGTGGTCTTTAAGGTTGTAGTGAGGAGTTATATCGACATGAGAAGTCAGAGTAGCTGGTGAAAGAAAGCTGTGTCCGATTCTGCTTCCATTCGTAAATTCACAAAATATCAGGATTACCTCCCGACTTCCTTCATCAAAAGCTTTATATAAGTGTGACGTTTGTATACCGATGTCAGCCAGTCTTTTACAGGTCACTGAAAAGTAAAGAAAAATAAAGATATGACTTATCAGTTTAATAGGTAATAAAAAGAAATCGATGGTAAAAAGGTATGTTGAAGAAGAAGTTAGTGAATAATGGAGAAAAAAGACCACGAATTACGCTTACTGTAATTGATTTCAGAAGAATAAAAATAGTTTTTATATTACTAAGATTTTTTGTGTGAGAAATACCAGATAATCGAAATTATAGGTAAGATTTTTGCTATTCAATAACGACCCCTGTCGGAATTGGTATTGTTACACAAAACAGTGAAAACTAGCAAAACTTACTTATAAATATTAGCTATGGCAGGGTCACACTTATGCGATTCGAGAAACTATTTCTTTAAAAGAGGCACTTTTGAGAAAAAAAGAAATAATGTTTATTATCTTAAGTATGTCCACATTCTACACAAACATGTACATGTAACAAGATTCAACTAACATTGTACATGTATGTATAATACAAGATTCTACGTATATCCAACGCATGAACCTTTTTACAGATTCTACTATTTCAACAACAACTAAAAGTATAATTTGAGAAAATAGATACGAACGGCAAAGTAGTTCTAAGAGTGTTAGATTGCCAAATAATATTCAACACTGAGCGTATAGAACTAATAAGCCATTAATTTATTTTAGATTCAGAAAAAGGGCCTGAATTTCCTGTCGACATTTTGGTAGATTCATATGAGGAACTAGCGGAAAACATGAATCCTAGCCTTCTTGTTAAAACGGTTTTTAAAGAGAGAGAAATACCAATGGATTTCCAACTTCTAAATCGGAACATAAAAGCCAAATTTATTTTGCAACATTTTATGGTGATGGGTAAAGAAAAACGTTCAAAGTTTCTACATACACTCTTCATGTTGGATCAAATACCATCAACACTTTGGAAGCATGAAGTTGATCCAAAGATAAGTCTAGTAATTGGTATGTACAAATATTCGTTGTTTAATAACATGATTGTTTGGTAGTTTTGATTCAATATAAAATAAAATTGGAGATATTCTAAAACCACTCGGGTAAATATTCATTCGAGTTTTAAATTCGAATTTATTTCAAATCATGTGTGTGAATGGTTGCCTACCGGTAAAGGTGTTATGTCTCTCAATCCAGGAATGTATGTTCGAACTGCTGTTTTTAAACTACGTCTGGCATACAGTGCTTTCGGGGACTCGATATGTTTCTTACATATATCTTTTTAATTATATCACGTTTACACACATACATGTATGTAGACTTCAATCCTATTACACACACACACGCACGCACGCACGCACGCATGTACACACACACACATACACAGTCATACACACATCCATGAACAGACTAACAAAACCTAGCATGCAATATTTTCAATTTTGACATTTGGGCGTTATGTAGGGGTTCCGTTTTAATTTCTCCATCTTTTTAAAAATTAGCGTCATATGGTCTCGCCAAAATGTTGCACTTTTTTATATTCTTTTTGTTTGATATTCGGCATAATTCAAAGTGAGAACTTACTTATTGCAAAAAAGTAATGCTAACAAAATATTCGGTTTTGGTAATAAAACCTTGGTGCATTTTTCATAATCAAAATTTAGCTATTTGTTTTCACCTTGAACATTTCTTTTTTTTTCTAGAAGGAAGTTCAATTCAATATAGTATCAAAGGAGCTGCTAAAAAGGTTAAGAAGACGAAGAAAAAACGTCTAGCTGTCATATTTGCTGCAGATATTGTTGTGAAAGAAACGCCAAGTATTCTTTTTCCTTTTTTTCACAAGGAAACCAATATTTGACATGATAAAACAATTCATTATCCATAAATAAGTAAACAACCATTGTCTTTCATAAAATTACAATGAAGTTTTAAACAAAGACACACTAATGTTTAAGTTATTGCATAAAAATGAAAAGAGCTTCCACCAAAAGTTGATGATATAATTATTCTTTTATCATTGCAGCGATCAAAGCAGACGTAAAAAATACATTGTCGTCCCAAAGGCATAGCAACATAAAAAGAGATATTTCATTGCCATGGAAATTCAACATAACAGACAAGATAAGACCACTAAAACCAGAACCAAACATATTCAGTCAAGATGACGACAAGAGTCTTATCAATGGAAAGATGACGAAGAATGGATGAAAGCAACGATATACAGATTTATCAAAAATCATTCATTTGTTCGAGTACAAACACTACGACGCAGGAGTGTAACAAAGTAATGTAATAAAAATGATATTACACTGGCGTAGTAACACTTTGGTGTGACATTATTTTCGTAATATACATATATATCGTTATTAAAGCGCGCTATTGTTAGCGTTACTCTATTGGTGCGTCAAACCATTTTTATTTTGAATATATGATAAAAAAATATTATATTCTTGTATATAAAATGTATTGAACTCATTGAATATATAACAATAATATGATTGCCGAAGGCTTGCATAATATGATTCTGTTCAACACGTTCAATAACTTTAGTATTAAACCTTCACTTATTCGATATCCCCTTAATCTTATGCAGATCTTTTTTGAAGTAATAATTTTTGCTTGCTACATGTGTATTATCATTGTTACTTAATACATAAATCATTTCATCTTTTAATAAAACAAATTAAATGACATCAGTGAAGAGAAAAAAAGAAATAAAATGTTAAAAAAAATAATAAGAAATGAAACCTTTTCCATAAAGTTTTGTTTAAACTTTGTGAGCTGTTTCAAAATATGCACATTAAACAAAAGATGTGTTTTAGGAACCATATTTAAGCCCCGTTTATTTATTTATGTGCATTTGTTTTACATATTAATTAATTCATTTTACATTTTTCTATGATTACTTTACATAACATACATAACAAAATGAATACATATGTTGTTGTGTAAGTGGACATTTTAAAAGAAGTTCAAAGAGGTTAAACGTGAACCTCTTTTGGAAAAAGGATATAATACTTTAAACAAAAGTTTAATTGAGTCAATTATAGAGTTTTCAGTCAATAGGAAATATCTTTTTTTTCAACAAACAACGTTAAGATGAAACGAAAAAAAGGTAGTATCAAGAAAAAAGCTGCTTTAGTAATATACTGCTGATATATCATCAATCAGTACTTAAAGCATTACTAGAAAGTTGTTCCACTTACTGTTAAAATAATCAGATAATAATTTTGAAATGCTATGTATTTTCCTAAGGATGTTTCATCAAGCAATTTTTTAAACAAAGATTATTTCGTATTTTGGCAAAAAAGAGAATAATCAATATATGATAAAATCTTATTTCGGGAATGAAAATGTGACAATAAAAATTGTCTTTGTTAACATGTATACCAATTTCAACAAACCATTTAAACAATTCATTCCAAAAACTTTGTGTTTTTTGACAGATTCAAAATATATATTCTATGCTATCTATTTCCATATTACAAAAATCACTAGATTTTCACAAAAAGGCTAGACTCAACTAATTTACACCTAAAGAGAAATTTGTTAGTTGCAATATTTCTATGTAAGAAGTCAAAATACAAAAATTGCAAAATATTATCCTTACAAATATCAAACGCATTTAAATATATAAGTGTTGTCAGTTGAATTTTTTATCTTGAAATACTGTCTCCCAGAGATTATTTCTGATTTGATGTATTTTACCATGTTTGTTAATATTTGTATTTTGCTTCATCTGTAAATGTTTTGTAGTGTTCTTGACATTTTGTTTATACAAATTAATCTTATTTAAATATACAACTAAGAACGATTGTGTTTATTTTGAGATTCTCCTGCAGTTTCATGGACTATTTTACTAATTACGTTGGAAAATGTATACCAGTTTGGATTTCTGTTTATTGATCATTAATTGTTTCATGCTTTCGTTCATGTTATTTGTTTACTTTATTAACATCTCAATTGCATACTGATTATATGGTCAATGCACACAATATATTAATCTTTGATAAATGTTTAGTAACTTTTTCTGAGATGTGCGTAGTAAGATGTGATTAAATTCCACTTGCTTCTATGAAATTGTTATACTGACCATTATAGCGCAATAGGGTAAACTGCAATTTCTAAATGTCGTACGTGTTGTAAGTTCGAGTGTTTGTTTCTTCTTATTTATAACTATTTCAACATTATTGAAACTATGATTTTCTATATTGTTCTGTTTTACTTTTTAATATTTTTGCACTTATTTTAGTAAATATTATATATTCTTTCTAAAATACCACGGTTTAAGAATTAATATATAAAATTCATTCCGATTAAAATAAAAAATGTCATTTTAGTGCCGTAAAATGCAACGCAATTCGAGACAAAAAAATGTTATATCCCTGTAGACAAGTTTGCATTGCAAGCACTTGGCTATATTTATTGAAATATATTTCAGACTTAAACAATGGCAAAAGTAGGGATTGAAGTATTGTTGTTGCAGTTGTTGTTGTTGTTTAAGAAATATGGGTAATCTTTTTAACAAAACGAGATTTTTAGATCTATTGTTGTCACTGTTTTTATGTTCTTTATTTTTCAGATAAGTGAAAAAATTATAATAATTGAGCCGTGTCATGACAAAACCAACATAGTGGGTTTGCGACCAGCATGGATCAAGACCAGCCTGCGCATCCGCGCAGTCTGATCAGGATTCATGCTGTTCGCTTATAAACCCTATAGCAAGTAGAAAAACTGATAGCGAACAGCATGGATCCTGATCAGACTGCGCGGACGCGCAGGCTGGTCTAGATCCATGCTGGTCGCAAAACCACTATGTTGGTTTTGTCATAACACGGCTCATATATGTGGTCTGAGCGATGTTTATCGGCTTATTAACACCGGTTTGGAGTTTTGATGTGATGTCCACGAATGCCGTCGGCCTGTGTGGTCATTTTTTTCTCGCATCAAAACTACAGACAAGTGTTGAATGCCCGTTAAGACCGCGCTCCGACGGCTTTTTTAACTATTCAAAACAAGAGCAACCATTAATGTCATACTTTTCATTTGGAGAAAATTTCCGCTGCCGATATGTTTATTGAGATGTTTTATTTCTCACCCTATGTCATTAAATGTAAAAATGATTAAACACAATAGTTACAAAATGAAGTTCTAAGGATTTTTTGCCTTTTATACCGTATAAGTACTTATTTCTGCGGGCTTAATATTCTGCGATTTTGGTTAAAATAAGGGGTTTTAAATTTCGGCGTATCTTATTTCTGCGGTGTCATCATTCTCGCATTGATGCTTTTTATTTCTGCGTTTTAATTAAGATATTTTTTTTTTTTACAAAATTAACCGATACAAACAGAAAACTTTTAAGTGTAACACTGCATGTGTATAAATATGAAGTGTGAAAAATGAACAATGGTAACATCGCACGTAGACACAATATATTGTACAAATACAAAAGGGTATGTTTATTGCACCCCTCAAACTTTAATAGTATTATTTTAAAATAAACCAAGCTTAGGGTGAGCGAAAATCATACAAAAAGAACAAGTAAAGTAACTTTTTTTCTAATATTTTATTTCATGACGGATACATAAAGAAAAATTCCCATCTACAGTACATGATAATGTAATTATACATAACAGGTAGTTGACATATTCCGACATACATGTAGACAATGTCTACTAGACATAGCGGAATGCTTAATTTTCTGGGGTTTTTAAATCTGCGGTGTCGTTATAAACCGCAGAAATAACAGAAATAAAGTTCCCGCAGAAAAAAGTACTTATACGGTACTTTTATAGTTTTAGAAATGATGTTTAATTCGATAGAATATTTCCTAATCAATATTTTTGGTTTATTTCAATTTTTTTCTGGTTATATTCAATAATGTGCCACGATATATTCACGTTAGCCCTGCGGTTTATATGAAACACTTTATATAAAGATAATCATACCATTTGTAAAAAGTATGAGCATAAAAGCAATTACTAAAATAAATCAAATTTTTTTTTAATAAATAAGTACAGTACAGTGTAATACACCTCATTTTCTTTTTTAATATTATTGAATTTTCGATGTAATAAGTTCCCAAATTTTGTTACCTTCCCATATTTGTTTAATATTAATTTTGTCCGTTCTATTGTATACATAGACAATGGCTCTGTAACACTACCAGAATATGTGAAAATATCAAAATATCCTTTTTTTATCATGCGCAGTAAGGACATATGAAAGTATGAGTAAAAATCCGGACATGATTGATGCTTTGGAATCATTAACCCTTTACCTCATATATACTCGAAACAATGAACTTTCGACCCCCCCCCCCTTTTTAAGGCCTGAAATTATGAAAAATGTCCTATTTGGGCCCCAAACACATGTTTTCGTTTGAGAAATGTTGCTAAAAAAAGTGAGCACTTTTTCGGCACCGCCCCCATCCAAAAGATACATCAGGGGGTTGCCAGAACGGGGATGTGCCCCATTCTGTTTGGGGGTTTGAAGGGGGGCGGAGTCCCCCTCATCGCCAAGAAGATTTTGGACTTGTGAGAGGTTAAAAATGACCCCAGGTCAATCATAAGGTAACGTGTAACCAACGCTGAAAAGCCCTTGACTCTATCTCAATCCCTTGTGAAGTTGCAGCACTTTGAAATAATTTTTGATGGAAAAAATCGAGGCAAAATAGTGATTTTTGGCAATTTTGAGATGTCCCCTCGTTGCCATGGTAACAGGAAATTTAAGACTGCACATGTCGTTACAAAGGCAATGGTCCAGTCAACATTTGTGCCAAGTTTGATTAGTATTGAAGCATATTTCATAGTTTCGTAGCAGTTTGTACTTATAAGAGGAGGCTTTTCAGTGAAAATGGCCATTTTTCACAATATGCTCATGGGGGAAAGGGTTATTTAATCACAATAAATTACATGAAAAATGCAGACTTGATTTGACCAAGTCTGTACATTAGGAAAAATGAATCTGCGACATCCGACACGACCCTAGCGCTTCACCAGAACTAAATTTGCAACACTCTAAAGCGCTGACATCAATGATCTCAAAGGATTAGAAAGATATGGCAAGTATATCTAAAGCAATACATTGTTATTTTCATAAAAAAGGAATTTACGGTAAATTATTCAAATGAATTAATACGATCGAAAGTGTTTTCAAAACGACAAAAGAGTTGTTAAATATATATAAATTTTGTACGTTTTCGACCGAATATATGCATAAGTATTTTACGTTCAATTATTGAATAATAGGAAAAGAAAGAAGAAATATACACACGCACTCTAGCACAGACACACATACATACAAAAACACGTACACAAAGACAACGTTTTCTGACTGGACAGTTTTCATTTTTTGAAGTCTTAGATTAATCAGTAATCAAAAGGTAACCCAAACGTAATCCCTTTGATTGATTCGTCATCATTACGAACCCGACATCCACCTCCGCCCATTCCTATATCATAAGAGTTAAACATCATCATGTTTGGAATAAAACGGGACGGTTCAACCGACTTTGAGCAAACTTTCCAGCCGTCTCGAACATTTGTTTGTCGAAATGTGATAATCGCAATGTTCTCAGAATGATATATTACGAAGAAATTGTTAGGATTTGTATCACCATTTATGAAGGTATAATTCTTTCCATTGCATGCATAACCTTTAAGAATACCATGATGGTCGCCAAAGGATATCGGTATGAAACCTAAATAAAGGTACGGTATTGGCACACCCTCAAGGTATGTAAAGTCAGGGTGTTTGCTATTGAACACGGAAACATTGAATTGACTGCGATATAACGGAAGAACTTCGATTTTAGATTCATATTGTATTCCATCTCTTAGATAACGCAGCATGACGTGGTCTTTAAGGTTGTAGTGAGGAGTTATATCGACATGAGAAGTCAGAGTAGCTGGTGAAAGAAAGCTGTGTCCGATTCTGCTTCCATTCGTAAATTCACAAAATATCAGGATTACCTCCCGACTTCCTTCATCAAAAGCTTTATATAAGTGTGACGTTTGTATACCGATGTCAGCCAGTCTTTTACAGGTCACTGAAAAGTAAAGAAAAATAAAGATATGACTTATCAGTTTAATAGGTAATAAAAAGAAATCGATGGTAAAAAGGTATGTTGAAGAAGAAGTTAGTGAATAATGGAGAAAAAGACCACGAATTACGCTTACTGTAATTGATTTCAGAAGAATAAAAATAGTTTTTATATTACTAAGATTTTTTGTGTGAGAAATACCAGATAATCGAAATTATAGGTAAGATTTTTGCTATTCAATAACGACCCCTGTCGGAATTGGTATTGTTACACAAAACAGTGAAAACTAGCAAAACTTACTTATAAATATTAGCTATGGCAGGGTCACACTTATGCGATTCGAGAAACTATTTCTTTAAAAGAGGCACTTTTGAGAAAAAAAGAAATAATGTTTATTATCTTAAGTATGTCCACATTCTACAAACATGTACATGTAACAAGATTCAACTAACATTGTACATGTATGTATAATACAAGATTCTACGTATATCCAACGCATGAACCTTTTTACAGATTCTACTATTTCCTTTACCATTAGCAAAACACATTTTCCATATGCAGATTGGAAAAAGTAACAAATAATTTAAATAAGGTACTCTATCCACGAACGAACTTAAAGAGGTATCACATGATTACAAATGTGTTCCGTTTTCATTGTTATCTTTTTGCTATGGTAACAATGGCACAATTAGAATGACTTGGAAAGTTAGTTTTAAAAGCCATAGATATTTATATCATTAATCATGATATTTACAAAAATGACATATGATTGAATAATGCAAAATTTAATGAAAAACTTAAGCTATTATTAAACTTAATAAGTCATTACAATGCTTAACAAATCTGCAGATGTTTCTTAATTTCAAAATCTCTTTGTTTTATCGTGTAAATGTTGAATTCTGCATAAGGCGGTGCTATGGGACGTGGACGGTAGCTTGCAGTATCCACTACCGTCTATGAACAGGCTCAATTAAAGCTGCAACCTTTGCGTTCATTTTTTACCGTTTTAAACGTTCTTTAGGGATTGGATTCCAACTATCTTTATTTCAAAACAACGATAAATGTATGGGGAAGCCAATGTATTTTAACAGCGTATCACGGTTACATCTCAAACAATAACCTTATCTTCGAAGCAAGCACATTCTATCTGTACAATGTATTTTTAGTTTATCATTACATAAACATAATTGATTATCTACATAGAATATGGAAAACAAAGAAATTCATGTCGGGTAATAATCTGGCTCTTTCAATAAAAAGTGTTTACTACCTGTCATGGAAATACATATACTTACAAGGCACACATGTAAGCTGCCTCGTCCATCCATTCTCTCCACAAACAGTTTTCATGTAGAACACATTGACGTCTATTGGTATGAAACCATTCCGACAACGTAATAACTGTTTGCTCCCAACTGATACCATGTTTCCAAAAACATCAACGCCAGTTTGTTCCGGCATAGGACTACATTGTATATGTTTACGGAAATAAATTAAAATATCAAAATGGCTGTTATTATTCGAAAATTTCACTTTTTCAAAATAACAAAAAAAACATACATTATGGACGTCATACCACTTTAACTACACACACTTGTAGTTCCTTAAGTTTTGACATATTTCTGACTTAGTTGGCAGGGGAAACAAAGAACAAATTCCAAACTTTGGATAAATTGTATGTATTTCAAATGGATAATTGCTCTATGATTTGTATGATTTGGAACGATTCATTTACATTTTGGATTGTTTTACGAAGTATATGATTTATAGAAATAGCTATCTTAAGTGAATGATTTGTAAATTAAAGAAACTTAGCTTCTCTCATTCCATTTTAACTCTCAATCCAGGTTGTTTTAAAAGATGAAAAAAGGAACAACAGGGGATACTGACCGGAAAATTGCCACGACAGGAGTTAACACTCTTTAAGGAAACATAAGTTCTGTTCGTCATAAATTAATACCACTCTCTTTCATTTTATTGTAATTTTATTTTCTATTTTACAGAAAAATTTGTTCGTGAATAATTAATTACTGTTTGTCTATATCTTACCTTTAGTTTTGCATTGTTTAAAAGTAGCATCACAAACTAATCCACGGAGGCAGATTTCTTTACCACATTGTAAAATGTCCTGTAAAAGTATAAACCTAATCTGATTCAAATTGATTACGCAAGCTTAAAAATGTGACAGTTAAAATTCAAATTTAAATTCAAAAGTGTATTGTATAATACACAGTTTTATATATTACATATAATGTTAAGTCATGTGAGGTAAAACATATGTGTTTTGTCAAGAAAACAGAACCATACTCACAATATTTTACACATAATTTATGATACAAAATCAATTTAAACTGATATTCTAGTCTGATGTGAGAAAATGTATTCTTTCTTTTGTAGCAAAATACAAGAACAAAGCAATTTGTTTGATGACTTTTACATTTTTAAAATACATTTACTAATAGGTTGTCATCGTATTGAAAAAAATATTTTTAACCGACCATGCTTTTTAAATGAGGAACTTTGAATAAAGGTTTTGATCAATCTTGCTCATTTTTGTCCTATCAAAGGCCGGTCTAAAATCAGTTTGACTTGCTGTA